GATAAAGCTCCTGGAGAGCGAAACGTTGCCACAATAAAATGTCACATTAGTTGCACTTGTGTCCTTTTACTTTACATATTGTCGGTAATTCTACCAACTTTATTACAAGGTTCGTGAAGCCAGAAGAGTGGACCTAGTAGCACCCAGAGAAGAGGCGGGATCAGGAAGTCGATCCCTGTACCCATATATAGATGAGTATATACATACACACGAATTCACAAAACCTTGTGGAGAGAAGGGCAAGGGGAGACTTGATTACGACATACGGAATCTTAAGAGGAATAGATAGTGACAGACAGTTTGAATTAAAAGGACCAGGATCAAGATGACACGGATGGAAGCTGTGAACACAGATGAGCCATGGGGATACAAGGGAGTATTTGTTTAGCCTCAGGCTGGTTGATGAGTGGAGCAACTTGAATGAGTCGCTAGTGAAGGCAAACTCGATACACAGCCTCAAGGTAAATATGATAAGGCCCAAGAGGCCAGAAATCAATGATGCCGATCAAAGTGGTCTAGGAGGCGGGGCGAGAAGCCAAGTCTCGACCTCCTCCAACACAACTCGGAGAGTACATGCACATAAGGATACAAAAGAGAGAGAGAGAGGAGGGGATGAATCAGCAATACCGGATCTATTATCTATTACAAGTGACTCTGATATAGGAGAAATGGAATATGAGAGGCGTCTTGAATGCTAAATTTCGAATACCATGTGGAAGTTAATATTGAGGGAAGAATAGCAGGCGGGGGATGTGAGAAACCAGTTTTAAAAGAAAGAAACTTTCAAGGCATGAGAACAGTGGTGCATGTAGTGCAGAGGGAGAGGAAACTGGTAGGAAAGGTCCAGGAAGCAGAGGAGAGCTTCATACCTAGAAGAAACAGTGATAAAAATAAAGAAAACTCGTATTTAAACCAAAGATGCAGAAAGAAAAAAGAATGCAAGGGCCTGGAATACAATGTAAGGTGAAGAATAGAGGAAAACAGAGAAGTGAGAAGAGCCAGGTACGAATATACCAGAAGGTGAGGAGGGAGAGAGAGACTGAGCGACAGTTTGAGGATGATTTAGTAATAAAAGCCAAGTCTGAACCAACATTGCTTCACAATCACATCAGAAGATAGACCACAGTAAATACCAGGTAATAAGACTGAAAAACGAAGGAAGAGAGCTGACGTTTATATTGGATTAACAAAGCTCCTGGTGAGCGAAACGTAGTTGCAGTAATGTCATTAGTTTCACTGGTGTCCATTTAACTAACATATCGTCGGTAGTGTTACCAGTATGCCAGTCATAGTTGTTTATTGTTCCAGCCACGATATGTTAAATTATATTCTTAAGTACTAATTTCTCTCAGTATGAAATATTCCTGACTCACAGATTAACCTGTTCTCTATTTTTTTTGTCAGAGTAATAATTTTCATTCTGTAAAATGGAGTTCAGAACTACACTTCTTAATCTAAAGTTTTTTTTTTTTTTTTTTTTTTTTTACTAGCGGAATTACTTTAATTTATTGGGTTTAATTCCTATCGACTACACAAGGTTCATTAAGTCTTCTCGTAACTTGTTCACCACCAGTCAAGAATACTTTAATCTCTAAAATATGGATTTAAAGTAAAAATCTCAGTTTATATACACCGAGAGATACACACCTCTCAGTATATATATCCTTGAAATTTATAGTATAACCCAGAGATCTGAAGAATAGCTAAGTATTTTATATGCTTTATCGCTAACATTTTTTGCTTTAATAATAATAATAATTGTGATTCCCAGGCTGATTTATCCCCATTTATGTACATTGTTTTATTTTGTCAAAGATTTTATTCCAGAAGGAAGCTTCCCCAATACTATGTTCATCTATTTTGTGTGGAAGTCTATCACAGATGATACCCACATAAACAAGGTCATAGTACTCTTTAACAAGGTGTAATGCATCAAATACATCATTGAAACAAGTCAGTAACAACCTGATCAAGAGATTGGTAATGTTTTTAACCAGAACTTGTGTTTCACATGCCGCATTACTGTCAAGTTTGATGACGAGGCTACACACTGAAGAACAAGCCTTTTGGGGGGACAACTTAGACCTTGATACAGCTTTAATATTATTGATGGTATACATTACCAACAAGTAAATGAATAAGACTCATATGTAACACTTGGGAATTTTTATTACTGAAAAGTTTCGCTTGTGCAGCAAGCGTCTTCAGTCTTAACAGTTGGTTGTAATCATAACCATATTTTTTTAAAGTGGTGGAGGGGTAAGCCAGTGGAAGAGCTCGGTCAGATGACCAAAAGCTCCAGCTGTGAGTCATCATATGACTAAGACTCGCGTCAGGAAACATTTGTCCTGTTTCCTGACAAACCTTACTTAACCTAGTCGTATACAGGTGCATATAGCACTGGAGACTTGATAGACCTTGATACAGTTCTACGTTAAAAGAAACATTGTCCCAATAAAAGCTTGTCTTTGTCTTCATATTACAACTTATGTTGTATTTTAACTAGTCATTAATATAACTTGGCTGTTATTGAAGGCAGGCAGAGAGGACAGTAACTGACAGTAAGGAACCTCTCAGTCTCCGTGCAGATACGTTTTCACATTGATCAGGTTGTTGTTGTTGTTGCACAGTCTCCCGCCCCACAACCCGCTTGCAGTGGATTGTCAAACTGGCCAACTCTGTACTAAGTTAATCTTTGTGTTCTCTCTCTGCCTCTGAATATAGTACGTCAGAGTTTATCCTTTTGTTTGGTTGGAATACGTCTGCTTCGATGCCGATTACGGTTTGATTTAAAATTATTGATATTATTGTAATTATTATTAATATTTTATTATTATTATTATTATTATTATTATTATTATTATTATTATTATTATCATCATTATCATCATCATTATCATCATCATTCACATTGAAGCGCTAAACTCATAAGGTTCCTGCAGTGCCTGTGGAACGGGAGGTAATCGGACTTGATCCGAGGAAGAAGAGGGACCGTTCAACCTAGTTGAATAGCAATACCCTTGCCTGTTGTGACAGGCGTCTGCGGATCACTTCTCGAGTGAATATCCTAGTAAGAGGGTAGCTCAGATGCCTTGACTCAAGAGCCCCTCGCCCAACTCGTTGCACCTTCCCTCCCTTCCTTTTATCTTTTCTTCTAAAAATAGAAGACATTGTTGGGTCATTTTCAGTGAGATTAAATTTACTAACCTGTTTAAGACGCGTCCCGTCGCCAAGCTCTCAGTCAGTAGCTCAGCCAGGCGTCAGGATTTCAGTCTGAGGGAGGGATTAGGCCAGAATTTCAATCTAAGGGGGGTATAACCAGGATTTCAGTCTAAGGGGGTTTAGCCAGGATTTCAATCAGAGGGGGTTTAGCCAGGATTTCAATCAGAGGGGGTTTAGCCAGGATTTCAATCAGATGGGGTTTAGCCAGGATTTCAGTCAGAGGGGGTTTAGCCCCAGGATTTCATTCAGAGGGGGTTTAGCCAGGATTTCATTCAGAGGGGGTTTAGCCAGGATTTCAATCAGAGGGGGTTTAGCCAGGATTTCAGCCAGAGGGGGGTTAGCCAGGATTTCAGTCAGAGGGGGTTTAACCAGGATTTCAATCAGAGGGGGTTTAACCAGGATTTCAATCAGAGTGGGTTTAGCCAGGATTTCAGTCAGGGGGGTATAGCCAGGATTTCAGTCAGAGGGGGTATAGCCAGGATTTCAGTCAGAGGGGGTTTAGCCCCCTTAGTCGCCCGTGGCTGCACGATTGCTGTCAGTATTTAGTTTTATTGCTAGATCAATAAAAGCCAGTGTTACATTAGAAACATTTTATTTGTTAATTATTATCAAGATACATAGTAACTGCATAACTCCTGTGGCACAAATAATTTTTATCTAAATTATACACATTTGTACAATGCACACCCGCACCCCTCACACACACGCACTCATCTATATACACATGGACACTCCTGTTAGATAGGAGAGCTTGTGACATTTGAGTGCATTACCCACCCGCCTTCTCTCCCTCCCATACCCCCCCTCTCCCTCGCATACCTGCCCACTCCCTCCCATACCCGCCCTTTCCCTCCCATACTCGCCCTCTCCCTCCCATACCTGCCCTCTCATTCACTCTGATGGTACTGTTAAGCTTTGTTATTGCGGTGAATCTCTGTTATTGCCATTATTACTTAGACTTTCGTGTGACGATTGTGCTGTTCTGGGAACGCCTACTTTTGTGTGACGATTATACTGTTCTAGGAACGCCTTTAAGTACTTGGATTGTCCTCCTATCTGGAGGGAAAGAAGAGGTACCTAATAACACACACTTGGAAGATGCTTTACATAAATAACCCGCACGTAGAAGAGAGGAGCTTACGACGACGTTTTGGTTCGATTTGGACCATTTACTAAGTCACACCGACTTGTAAATGGTCCATGTCAGACCGAAACGTCGTCATACGCTCCTCTTTTCTATGATTTGTGTATTGCTCCAGTCACGGTATTGTGCCCCTTTTTGTTATTTTTGGAAGATACTTGATGGCCAAGTTCCAAATCTACACACAAAAAATAAAAAAAAAAAATACTGGAATGAGAGATATGATAGTAAGTTTAAAATAGACCCAGTGATTGCTGCTCATGTTTACAACTTGCTGTTTGTAGGGAGAATTATTTTACTCTGTTCAAACGCAATTGTTTAGTGTGGAAATTTTTGGCACGGAGGTTATAGCTTCCTTTATTATTGAACCTTTGTTATTGGAGTGAACTTTTGGTTTTGTGGTGAACATTTATGACTGTAGTGAATATTTGTTGTTATGATGAACTCTGAAGAAATGAACGAGGAAATGAGGAGAATTATAGAAAATATTAATTTGTAGTTTTTGTTTTAATTCACATTATGTTATTAAGTAAATTTGACTGTATTTTTTACTCTTCAAGATGAACACAAACATAAACAATGTGAACCTATATTATACTAATTAATACACAAGAATGAGAGAATTATGATAGTGATAATGATGATGATGATATAATAATAATAATAATACTTATCTACATTATAAAATAATATACACTAATTTGTGTATGTGATTGTAACTTATAATTACATAAAAGACGAATATGTGGTATTCTGAGACAGCCATACTGGGCCTTGGTGCCTGTGCTAGTAAGGATCAATCTTATATGTACAATATAGGTGAGGTGAGCTTTATCAGCAGAGCCCAGCATGGCTGAGAGACGTCACCCCGTGTGTCCACCACTTGTGGCTCTCACAGACAGTGTCACTACACGCACACATCAAGGGACACACTCACTCATACTTCACAGTAGTTGGCGCAACACTAAAGTTATTCACAACGCAAGATAAACTCTTATTACAACCATTACTAAAGCTTATTAATCCTGAATCCCCCGCAGTTACAATGAGTCCTTATTGCAGGCTGGTAAATCATGGGATGATTTTATCATGTAAAAAGAGTTAGCACGGCTTTCATATCACAATCACCTAAGTGCTAGAGTGTCAGTACAAGTGAATGTAAGATGGACCATGCTTGCTGAGGAACCAGTGCGCTAGTTTGTGAATGAGAGATAACATGTTAAAAAATGAAAGCAAATATTAAACAAATTATATATCAACACTTCTTAAATCTAAGCTATGTACAAAATACACACAATGTCTAACACTATATGCTAGAGGATTTTAGCATTCACATCAAATTGGACTAGTATCCACGGTATAAGGTTTGTTATCCTAGGACAGCAGTATCATATAGGACGGTGGTTAGACCGTCCTATCCTTAACAAATGCATGTATTTTACTTGATGATACAAAGGAATGAAATAGATACCGGTATTCTGAAATTACACTCATTTCTTGAGAATTGTCATTGAAAAGTGTAAGTGTAACATGTATTATGAATGAAACTGAAGTATACACAATGATTACACTCCATTGTTGCTCAAGAAATGGCTCATTACGCGAGTGTATCTCCAGAAACCAGGCCAATGAAGGTGATTTTTACATGGCATGTGTAACAACTCAGTGAAACAAGTGTGACCAGCTCTGGGAAGTACGAGGTAGTTCAGGAGGCTGCCAGTCCTTCCTGTGACCTGCGTCAGCAGGGTCTGCTGGACCTCTGAACACAGCTCCTCGTGTCCACATCTAAGGTCACAACACTTCTTGGTTGGTGGAAAAAGTCCCAATGGGATGTTTCTCACTCACACGTTCCACACTGCGCACCTCAACAGTAATTGTTTAACAGAAAAAGACAAGATTATATTTTATTGTCCTGGACGAATTCGAGCGTTATTAATAACAGAACCAGAAGTGAAACACGAAGGTTGATTTTCGGGATCAGTTATGTTTGAGTCATGGAACCAATTATGTTTGAGTCATGGAACCAGTTCTTTCAGTCATGGAGCCAGTTATGTTTCAGTCATAGAACCAGTTATGTTTCAGTCATGGAACCAGTTATATTTCAGTCATGGAACCAGTTATGTTCCAGTCGTGGAACCAGTTATATTTAAGTGATGGAACCAGTTGTGTGTGAGTCACGGGACCAAAATCATGATTTTTAGTCGTGATTTTGGCAAAATTTATGTTCGGATCACCACAACAGTCACGGGACTAGCGTCACTGGATCAGAGTCACGGGACCAGCGTCACTGGACCAGAGTCACGGGACCAGCGTCACTGGACCAGTCACGGGACCAGAGTCACGGGACCGGAGTCACTGGACCAGAGTCAAGGGACCAGCGTCACTGGAGCAGAGTCACGTGACCAGCGTCATTGAACCAGTCACGGGACCAGGGTCACTAGATCAGAGCCAAGGGACCAGCGTCACTGGACCAGTCACGGGACCAGGGTCACTAGATCAGAGTCAAGGGACCACCGTCACTAGACCAGAGTCACGGGACCAGGGCCACTAGATCAGTCAAGGGACCAGCGTCACTGGACCAGTCACGGGACCAGGGGTCACTAGATCAGAGTCAAGGGACCACCGTCACTGGATCAGAGTCACGGGACCAGGGTCACTAGATCAGAGTCAGGGGACCAACGTCACTGGACCAGAGTCATGTTTGAGTCATCTGTACAACCTCACACTGTATAGCAATAAGACAAGTGTGAGATTTGTTCTGGTATCAGCCTGAGGGTTGAGTTTCACTTGTGGTTGTGTGGCTGTGTCGTTCACGGCTGACACAGTTATCCGCGAGTGTGGTCAGAGACAGTCTTTCTTGAAGAAGCAGCATTTATCTGTGGCTTTACACATTTTTTTCTTATCTACAATACATTGTTATCGTGAAGTCTAAGCGAGACAGATGTTGAAGTCTTGGTCCAACCACTGGGTGTAACCACTGGGAGAAACTAGTGGTTACGTGAACCTGGTCAGTGAAATGACCAGAGTGTTCTCCCTGGGAGAGGTCATCACCCCCAGTAACACGGTCTTAGACCAGGTCTCCAGCTTACAATACTTCTCATTTCTTGATCGACACAGATTGCCAAGAGAATATAGTTTGATTTATGGAGAGGTACTGGATATATTTTTTCTTGAAATATATCACAAATATATATATTTATATATAGTAAAGCTCGATTTGCGAGTATTGATTCACAGAGAAAGATTGGAGGAATGAATGTGATGTAATAACATATTTCAGTACGTGTTGAATGTTTAAATTTTACGTATACTTATAAAATCCGCCACTTATCTGACTTTGAACCTTAAAGAACTCCGTTGTTTCACACGGTGCATTCACGTGCCCTGTTTACAAGCGCGTTTTTTCTCTCCGGTGCGTAGAGGGTGAAGCGATACGCGAGGTGGGGGAAGGGGAAGGGGGAGGGGATGTTCAAATCCCACCACCACCACCACCACCACCACTGTCTTCACCACCACCACCACTTTCATCATCACCGTCACCACCACCAGTATCGCCGCCGCCGCCACTGCCTTCGCCACCAGAGTGCACTCTCCACCCCCTCTGGCACGTCACCTTCGCCACTCAGCAATACCTGCTTGTTTTCCAAGTTTGGGAGATCATCCCAGCCACCGTGGTGGAGTGAGGGAGATGGGGGAGTGGAGGAGGCTACCAGGACACGGTTATTGGGAATTAGGACAGGAAACTGGAAATTGGAAGGTTGAGGAGCCTGGAGAATGGATGGCTCAGGGGTTTGGAAAGTGGATGGTTGAGGATTCCGAAGAATGGATTGTTGAGGAGTCTGGAAAATGGATGGTTGAGTAGTCTGGAGAATGGATGGCTGAGGAGTCTGGAGAATGGATGGCTGAGGAGTCTGGAGAATGGATGGCTGAGGAGTCTGGAGAATGGATGGCTGAGTAGTCTGGAGAATGGATGGCTGAGGAGTCTGGAGAATGGATGGCTGAGTAGTCTGGAGAATAGATGGCTGAGGAGTCTGGAGAATAAATAGTTGAGGAATCTGAAGAATGGATGGCTGAGGAGTCTGGAGAATGGATGGCTGAGGAGTCTGGAGAATGGATGGTTGAGGAGTCTGGAAAATGGATTACCGAGGAGTTTGAACAATTGAAAAATAAGAGATCTGAAGGTTGGAAGAGTAAGGGGTCAAAAAATTGGAAGGGTGAGGAATGTGGAGAGTGGAAGGGTGAGGAATGTGGTGAATGGAAGGGTAAGGAATGTGGAGAGCGGAAAGGGTGAGGAGTGTGGAGTATGAAAGGGTAAAGGTATGGCAGGGTGAGAAGTGTGGAAGGGTGAAGAGTGTAAAAGGGTGAGGAGTGTGGACTACGAGGATACGTAGCTTGTGGCACGGCGCACGCTGCATTAGCTCGTGGATCTTACAGAAGACACAAAATCGGGAAGAGCTGAACGCAGAGCTTGAGGTTTTACACAAGAAGGGATGAAGCTATAAGAGGGCTCCTTGGGCGTCAGGACACGCACGGGTTCACTGCATGTCTGGCTGCAGGTCCCGTGATGGAGTACACTCCAGCGGGTCCAGGGACAAGACGGAGTGACCAGGGATGGCGGGAAGGTGCGTGGGGGCCGGTTGTGGTTGTTGTTGCTGCTGCTGAGGTCCGGCTGCCTCCTGCTGCTGCTCCTCCAGGCTGTGCTTCACCCTCTTCGACTCTGATTGTTCTTCCTCGTCGTCTTGGTCCTCGTCGCCGTAGCCATCTACAGCTTCTTCTTGCTTCCGCTTGGCTGTGGCCATCTCCGCCGCGTGCCGCTTCCGCCATTTTGTGCGTCGGTTTTGGAACCACACCTGGGGGAGAGTAAAGAAAACAGGGCGTTGAGTGACGCCTTGCTCAACCTCACTCTTTTATACAAGGTGTTTCAACACTCTCTTTACCCCTGGCTAGTGATCATTAATACATATTATTGCTATTTATGCTTCATTGGTTGTCCATTTTTTGTGTCAATGTTAAATTTAATATTCTTACAAATATTTATTTTATTTGTACAAAAAAAAAAAAACATTGGTGGTAAAGGAACTTTTAGGAGTGACTGTACGTCAAATATATTGTAATAACTTATTATAAATGAGGTTTATAGTATTTTATGGAGTAGCATGATGCTGGAAGCAAGGAAAAAAGTTTAATAGGTGGCGGGAAATGTATTTGAGACCAACTTTCCTTTTTTTTTTTTTTTACCACGCTCGAGGTCTCCCACCGAGGCAGGGCGACCAAAAAAAAAAAAAAAACTTTCACCATCATTCGTACTATCGCCGTCTTGCAAGAGACGTGCGGATACTGTGAAGTATATGTCCCTTCAACGAGAGTTACTTGGCATCTGTGAAGGTCTCTTGATCTAGGGACTGGGTGCTGTTCTCCCATTCCTCCTGTATGACCTTGAATGCTTTACCATGAACGGTCAAAGTTGGACCGAAACGTCGTCAGAAGCTTCAGTCTGCTATGTGCGGGTTATTTGTGTATTGTTCCAGTCACGGTATTGTGTCTCTTTGTTCTTTATGAACTTAATATTATAATAATGTTGGTGGAATTACCCACAGTATGTTAGGTTAAAGGACACAAGTGCATGCGATATATTTTATTGTGGCAACGTTTCGCTCTCCAGGAGCGAAAAAGCTCCTGGAGAGCGAAACGTTGCCACAATAAAATGTCGAATTAGTTGCACTTATGTCTTTTTACCTAACAACGTAATATTAATATGGTCTCCGGCCGTGAGTTTGTTCCCTGGACCTCGGGGATGAGAGCCGCGACTCTCACCACTAAGCTATGGCAGAACATATGTATAATATTAACAATATGAAATATATATTCCATCGTATATCAGTGGCATGCAATACCGACAAGATGATGAATCAACCACATGTGTAACAATTAAAGATACTCAGATGTTGCATATGTGTCTAATTCATCACAAATTCCACTATCTTCTAAATAAATGTTATTCAAGTATGCAATGTTGAGTCATCTGCTGCACAAATATCAGTAACGATAAGGTGTTACATTTTGTGTTGTACAACTAACATTAATGTATTATTAATGTATTGTACAATTGTCATTTAATATGATAATTGTAAATGATAATAATAAAATAAATATTATCGTCATATCATTAAGAGGTCAGTACACTAATGTAGTGATGATCCGAATTAACATTATAACTGGTATAAACCTTGGTAATAAATACCGACAAGTTGGTTTAGAAAGACACGTAAGCAAACACTATGACATATTTATTAGAAAACGTTTCGGTCCTGGGACCTTGATCACTTCTAACATACAGAGGTAGAAAGACATTATATATATAGGCGGAGAGTGAGGTGTGACGCACGTGACTTGAGGAATGTCATAAGAACATAAGAATGGAGGAACACTGTAGAAGGCCTACTGGCCCATGCGAGGCAGGTCCTTATCAAAACAACCTCTGCCTATGAAGAGGACGGGTAGACGATGAAATCACGTGACTCCTGTGTTGTTGGGTTGGTGCTGCTTAAGTATCATGTATGCCAATGTTTTTGAAATTTTGTAGTTTCCAGTGTTGCGTTCTATAGTGTCGGTGACGGCGATTAGTGAGGCTTCTAGGCACCGTCGGCGTCTGAGGTCTGGTTCGGTGAGAACGAGTTGTGCCTCGTTCCAGTTCATCAAATATCCCGTGGAGTCTCTGTGGAGGACACAGGCGTACCTTACATCGTCTCTGTTAGAGGCATGTAAGGTACGCCTGTGTCCTCCACAGAGACTCCATGGGGCATTTGATGAACTGGAATGAGGCACAACTCGTTCTCACCGAACCAGACCTCAGACGCCGACGGTGCCTAGAAGCCTCACTAATCGCCGTCACCGACACTATAGAACGCAACACTGGAAACTACAAAATTTCAAAAACATTGGCATACATGATACTTAAGCAGCACCAACCCAACAACACAGGAGTCACATGATTTCATCGTCTACCCGTCCTCTTCATAGGCAGAGGTTGTTTTGATAAGGACCTGCCTCGCATGGGCCAGTAGGCCTTCTACAGTGTTCCTCCATTCTTATGTTCTTATGACATTCCTCAAGTCACGTGCGTCACATCTCACTCTCCGCCTATATATAATGTCTTTCTACCTCTGTATGTTAGAAGTGATCAAGGTCCCAGGACCGAAACGTTTTCTAATAAATATGTCATAGTGTTTGCTTACGTGTCTTTCTAAACCAACATTATAACTAAACAGAGCAATGAAATCACATGTAAACACAAATACCGTCATATAACCTGAGAGTTTTGTTTACCAGCTGAGTTTACGGTGACTGAACCTCGGTTCCTTGACCAGCAACGATACTTGCATTAGACTATCGTGGTTCATACTTGTGTATTCACCTATTTGTGGTTACAGGGGTTGATTCTCACCTTCTGGCACCGTGTATGTGTGTGTCAATTGTCTTGTGTGTAATTGTGAACGCGTATGTGTAAATGTTTGTGTGTGTCATTGTTTGTAATTGCAGAAATAAAGCTATACTAGTGGTATCTTGGCTTTATTACTGAAGCAGTTATATATAATTTCTTAGTATTGTGTAGTGAGTCAGGCGGCCAGAGCGGCGACCCTAGCGGCCTTACAAGCAACTTATCACCGCTAGTGTGGTGGTGTTATCGCTAACACGACGATGTGTCGTGTTGGCCCGCTACTGAAGTGCCACCTGACACGAGCTATGTGTCGTGCTCTCCCGTTTCTGAGGTGTCACCTGATATGGATGATGTGTCATGCTTGTCCGCTACTGAGGTGTCACCTGACACGAGTGATGTGTCATGTTTTTCCGTTACTGAAGTGTCACTTGACACGAGTGATGTGTCATGCTTGTCCGCTACTGTCACCTGACATGAGTGATGTGTCATGCCCGCTACTGATATGCCATCTGACACGTACTAGGTGTCATACTCTCCCGCTACTGAGGTGTCATCTTGACACAGACAATGATACACACTGTTCCGCTCTCGGCAGTTCTTAATTACTGGCTGAGTCGTATGTCCAGCATACTCAGAGTGATAACTTCCCTAAATACCTGACTGGCTTCAAGAGCCTCTGATAACTCATAGTTGATAACTGATAGAAATAACCTCTCCATATATTCTTAACTTCGCCGAGGAGATACCTGATTTTACGATAATTGTTTATATATATATATATATATATATATATATAATATATATATATATATATATATATATATATATATATATATATATATATATATATGATCTTATTGCATACATATACATGTATATATATATATTATATATATATATATATATATATATATATATATATATATATATATATATATATATTATATATATCTGTGTGTGTGTGTAATTCACCAAATCAGTGTTAAACTGTGTTGTATTGACTAGAGTACCAGTACTACCACACAACCTTGTATTGACCAGAGTACCAGTACTACCACACAACCTTGTATTAACCAGAGTACCAGTACTACCACACAACCTTGTATTGACCAGAGTACCAGCACTACCACACAACCTTGTATTGACCAGAGTACCAGTACTACTACCACACAACCTTGTATTGACCAGAGTACCAGTACTACCACACAACCTTGTATTGACCAGAGTACCAGTACTACCACACAACCTTGTATTGACCAGAGTACCAGTACTACCACACAACCTTGTATTAACCAGAGTACCAGTACTACCACACAACCTTGTATTGACCAGAGTACCAGTACTACCACACAACCTTGTATTGGCCAGAGTACCAGCACTACTACACAACCTTGTATTGACCAGAGTACCAGTCCTCTCACACAGCCCTATATTAACCAGAGTATTAATACTCCAGAGCGCCCCGTCCACGGTCACGCACACCCAAAAAAAAGGAAGAATTAAATACGGGAAGGATTGTCACTTTATCGACAGATGGGATTAGATCCGATCAATCCCTCGCCTATTTGTGCTCAATAGGCTTCAGATACCCAAACAAAGGATTAGGCGGACAAACACCAACAGATGACGTTAGCCACTTGTCTGTGTGTGTGTGTGTGTGTGTGTGTGTGTGTGTGTGTGTGTGTGTGTGTGTGTGTGTGTGTGTGTGTGTGTGTGTCTTATTCTCGTCTCGCAGTGTGAGTTTGTTTTGTTCATCCCGTCCCTTGTTTGTTCATGGTACTCAGGCCTTTGTTCAGTGCCTGGTGTTAGTATGGTGATAGGGGAACGGACACACGTGTTAGTGTGGTGGTATAGGAACGGACGCACGTGTTAGTGTGGTGGCAGAGGAACGTACGTGCGTGGGGGGTGGGGGGTAACGTACAGGTAGGGGTAATGAAGCTGTCGTAGGCATCAGCTCTTTAGCTGGTTTGCCTAGCTGACTGTGTTGTTTGCTATCTGGCTGAATAGTGTGCTAGCTGGTTTAGTGTGCTAGCTGGTTCTTTAGTATGCTAGCTGATTGATTAGTGTGCTAGCTGGTTGTTTAGTGTGCTAGCTGATTGATTACTGTGCTAGCTGGTTGTTTAGTATGCTAGCTGATTGATTAGTGTGCTAGCTGGTTGATTAGTGTGCTAGCTGGTTGTTTAGTGTGCTAGCTGGTTGATTAGTGTGCTAGCTGGTTGTTTAGTGTGCTAGCTGGTTGACTAGTGTGCTAGCTAGTTTAGTGTGCTAGCTGGTTGTTTAGTGTGCTAGCTGGTTGTTTAATATGTTAGCTGGTTGTTTAGTATGCTCGCTGGTTGATTAGTGTGCTAGCTGGTTGGTTAGTGTGCTAACTGGTTGTTTAGTGTGCTAGATGATTGATTAGTGTGCTAGCTG